AAATCCTTATTTTCATTATTTTCATTGTTTGTACTTGACCTTGTCACATGAATAAAAACATTATATATAAAATAAATAAATAGATAAATAATTTGAGCTTTTTCTGGAGGTTATTCCATCCCTAAGGTGCAGAGTATAGGAGAAGGCAGTTTTTCCCAACTCAGTTGAAGCATTAAACTGCATTAAAAATTAACCGTTTGGTCTCTGTGGAAAGATCCAATTAAGGCCAGAGCCAAGTGCCGATAGACCAATAGACTTAAGAACTCTTTTGTCCCCCACGCCATCAGACTGTAAACGCCTCACTGGGGGCGAGGAGGTGAACCAGGACAGGGGGAAGAGATATCACATACACTGTACTTAATCTGTATTTTTTGTATTTTTATTTATTTATTGGTATTTTTTTGCTTAATTTAATTCTAACTTGATACTTTTTGCCCTTTAAGCTGCTGGTAACCTTAATTTCCTGAGGGAGTCTTCCCAAGGGATCAATAAAGTACTGTCTAAATCTAAGTCTAAGTCTAAAAAACACACAAAACTACAAAAAAGTCCAGCTGAAGACCGGAGAATGATCAGAAATGGACACAAAACTCCAATAAATGACCAGAAAATGAAATAAAAATACCAGAAAAAGAGACAAATTGACCAAAAAGAGAACAAAACGTTTAAGTTGTCTAAGTCTAAGTCTAGTTAACCATTAACCACGCCGCGCCCTGATTGGCTGGTTTCCCCCATATAAGGGTTAGGGTTAGACCCTTAGGGTTAGAAGCTCCAGGACCCACTAGAGACCCTGAGACCCCCTCCACTAGAGACCAGGACCCACCAGAGACCAGGACCCACTAGAGAAGATGGCCCCCCCCATGCACTGGGCGCTCCGCGGGCCGTTCCTGCTGCTGCTGCTGGCCCTCTGCTCCTCCGGCCTCCTGCTGCCCGACGAGAGCAGCCCGCGCCGGGCTCGCTTCTCCAGCAACTCCCCCGGTGAGTCCTGGTCCTCTGGTGGTCCTGGTCCTGGTCCTGGTCCTGGTCCTGGTCCTGGTCCCGGTCTGGGCCCCAGAACCGGCTCCTGTAGCATTAGGATTAACCCAGATGAAAACTGGGTTTGTCTAAACGTTTGTCCTGAACAAGCCGGTTTTTTGGGGTGTTTTTTTCTGGTAGTTTTTGTGTGTTTTATTGGTGGTTTCTGGTAGTTGTTCTTCTCCAGCAACTCCCCCGGTGAGTCCTGGT